CAGAGAGAGAGACCAGAGAGAGACCAGAGAGAGAGACCAGAGAGAGAGACCAGAGAGAGAGACCAGAGAGAGAGACCAGAGAGAGACCAGAGAGAGAGACCAGAGAGAGAGACCAGAGAGAGAGACCAGAGAGAGAGACCAGAGAGAGAGACCAGAGAGAGAGACCAGAGAGAGACCAGAGAGAGAGACCAGAGAGAGAGACCAGAGAGAGAGACCAGAGAGAGAGACCAGAGAGAGAGACCAGAGAGAGAGACCAGAGAGAGAGACCAGAGAGAGAGACCAGAGAGAGACCAGAGAGAGACCAGAGAGAGACCAGAGACAGAGACCAGAGACAGAGACCAGAGAGAGAGACCAGAGAGAGACCAGAGAGAGACCAGAGAGAGACCAGAGAGAGAGACCAGAGAGAGAGACCAGAGAGAGACCAGAGAGAGACCAGAGAGAGAGACCAGAGAGAGACCAGAGAGAGAGACCAGAGAGAGAGACCAGAGAGAGACCAGAGAGAGACCAGAGAGACACCAGAGAGAGACCAGAGAGAGACCAGAGAGAGAGAGACCAGAGAGAGAGACCAGAGAGAGAGACCAGAGAGAGACCAGAGAGAGAGACCAGAGAGAGAGACCAGAGAGAGACCAGAGAGAGACCAGAGAGAGACCAGAGAGAGAGACCAGAGAGAGACCAGAGAGAGACCAGAGAGAGAGACCAGAGAGAGACCAGAGAGAGAGACCAGAGAGAGAGACCAGAGAGAGAGACCAGAGAGAGAGACCAGAGAGAGACCAGAGAGAGAGACCAGAGAGAGAGACCAGAGAGAGAGACCAGAGAGAGAGACCAGAGAGAGAGACCAGAGAGAGACCAGAGAGAGACCAGAGAGAGAGACCAGAGAGAGAGACCAGAGAGAGAGACCAGAGAGAGAGACCAGAGAGAGAGACCAGAGAGAGAGACCAGAGAGAGACCAGAGAGAGACCAGAGAGAGAGACCAGAGAGAGAGACCAGAGAGAGAGACCAGAGAGAGAGACCAGAGAGAGAGACCAGAGAGAGACCAGAGAGAGACCAGAGAGAGACCAGAGAGAGACCAGAGACAGAGACCAGAGAGAGAGACCAGAGAGAGACCAGAGAGAGACCAGAGAGAGAGACCAGAGAGAGAGACCAGAGAGAGACCAGAGAGAGACCAGAGAGAGACCAGAGAGAGAGACCAGAGAGAGAGACCAGAGAGAGAGACCAGAGAGAGACCAGAGAGAGACCAGAGAGAGAGACCAGAGAGAGACCAGAGAGAGACCAGAGAGAGACCAGAGAGAGAGACCAGAGAGAGACCAGAGAGAGAGACCAGAGAGAGACCAGAGAGAGAGACCAGAGAGAGAGACCAGAGAGAGACCAGAGAGAGAGACCAGAGATAATTTGTTCTCTAGCTTTAAATCAAACTAGTGTTTTTCTGTAGTGAGAGTCGGAGCCGTCTCTGAACAAACACATTCAGACCAAAACCAATGAAGGTTTTAAAAGAAAACATTTTCTCACGACTTTTGCCCTTTAAAAGCATGAACATACATTTACTGTACAAGTTTTATACCTGTGTGAATTAGTGCGAGTTCCCACATGGTATCTTTAAGCAGCAGCATAAATCACAGTCAGAAGAAAGAAGGAAAGTGTTGAATAAATATGAGCAGGAGGCGGAGACCGGAGCCGCCGGGAGTCTCCTGTTTGGAAGGAAAAGGTCAGAGTTTAGTAAACAAACAACATGGCAGCTGTTAGCCTGCGCGCACTAGCCGCTAAATGCTAACATTAGCATATTAGCAGAGAGCCACCTGTCAATCGCACATTACCGACGGGTAATTGGCTGAGCTCAGGATGTAGGATTGTGTTTCAGTGTTTCAGCAGGAGCCAAGACAGAGAGAGAGAGACCAGAGAGAGAGACCAGAGAGAGAGACCAGAGAGAGAGACCAGAGAGAGAGACCAGAGAGAGAGACCAGAGGGAGAGACCAGAGAGAGAGACCAGAGAGAGAGACCAGAGAGAGACCAGAGCAAGAGACCAGAGCGAGAGACCAGAGAGAGAGACCAGAGAGAGACCAGAGCAAGAGACCAGAGCGAGAGACCAGAGAGAGAGACCAGAGAGAGACCAGAGCAAGAGACCAGAGGGAGAGACCAGAGAGAGAGACCAGAGAGAGACCAGAGAGAGAGACCAGAGAGAGACCAGAGAGAGACCAGAGCAAGAGACCAGAGGGAGAGACCAGAGAGAGAGACCAGAGAGAGACCAGAGCAAGAGACCAGAGCGTGAGACCAGAAAGAGGGACCAGAGAGAGAGAGACCAGAGAGAGAGACCAGATAGAGACCAGAGAGAGGGAGGGAGAGAGACCAGAAAGAGAGGGAGAGAGACCATAGGGAGAGAGACTAGAGAGAGACCAGAGAAAGAAAGAGAGGGAGAGAGACCAGAGAAAGAGAGACCACATAGCGAGACCATAGAGAGAGACCAGCAAGACCGAAAGGGAAAGAGACCATAGAGAGGCAGAGAGAGAGAGACCAGAGAGAGAGAGAAGCCATGAAGCGAGAGAGCAACCGGAGAGAAAGAGAGACCACAGTTGAAATGTGGAACTCTGACAAACTATGATTAGAATCTGGCTTTGACTGTTACCATCGTTACCATAGTTACCAGGAAAGATGTTTTGGCTGCACTCCACCACAATGTGAAACTATCGCTCTCTGGAGTGCAGGCCACAGCACACAGTCGGCTGCACTTTTATCATAATCAGGCAGTATATGTCTTAGGTTTTTGAGTGTGAGAAAGAGGCCACTCCGTCAGAACCAGATGTGTGCCCCCCCTGGTGTCCATATGGTGTCACTGCGCACACACTGTAACCAGACTGTATCAGCACTGGGTCTGAATACTAATGCATCTGCTGTGGGAGGCCGGTTCTGTCGGACTCTCAAAGGGTTCCAAGTCTGAGTTTTTACCACTGAGCAAAGACGGAACGGGAAAAACACATACTTAGAGTTTGGATTGAGATTAGGATTAAGATTAAGATTAGGATTAAGAATTGAATGAGGATAAAGAAGACTGTGGTTCTGGTTTATGCAGTGATGGTTTGTGTCAGAACGACTGGGCCTTTAACCCGCCTTGCGACCTAGTCTTTTGAGACCGGAGCAAGAGAGACCAGACAAAGACTAGAGAGAGACTAGAGCGAGAGAGAGCAGAGAGAGAGAGAGCAGAGAGAAAGACCAGAGAGAACAGAAAGAGAGACCAGAGCGAGAGACCAAGAGATCTGATAGAGAGACCAGAGAGACCTCTTCCCTCTCTCCCTCATCCCTCTCTCTATTCTCTCTCTCCTCTCCCCTCTCTCATCTCTCTCCTCTCTCTCTTTCGCTCCGCCTCTCCTCTCTCTCTCCTCTCCCCTCTTTCCTACACTCTCCTCATCTACTCTCTCCTCTTCTCCCATTTCTCTCTCTTCCTCTACTCTCTCTTCCCATCTCTCCTCTCCTCTCTTCTCCTCCTCTCTCCTCTCTCCTCCCCTCCCTCTTATCGTCTCCTCTCTCCTCTCTCCCCTCTCCCTTCCCCCTCCCTCCCCCCGGACTCCCCCACAGCTCACAGAACAGAACTGGGGCAGTTTCAAAGCCAAGTGTAAGGACAGCTCCAGGGATCCACCACAAACACACATTATTTTACCTCTGAACGCTCTCACATCCTCTCACATCCTCTCACAGCGGAGAGAAGGGACTCGAACCCTCTGTAGCTGCCTTTGGAAACACAACAATCATAAAAGTTCAAGTACTTGGACATATTTCTTAGAGACAGACTTCAAACTGTGGGAACACTCCAAACCCAGACTCTCACATGTGCAGCACTTTGTCCCGCTCCAAAACAGGATAATTACAGTTTAAGTCCGGACTTGGAGCCACAGGAGCCGACAACAGGAGTGTTTTGGTTCTCACGACTGAGGACATGGTGTTGATGCAGATGTGTGGCTCTCCATTTAAAGCTGGGGGACGTAACTTTCACACCACAACAATAGAACTCACTAAAATAAAACCCGTGTCTGTCGCTCCTGGCTCTAAAATGCATACATGCATGGTCTGGGTCTAGTCTTGGGTCTGGTGCTGGTCCTGATCCTGCTCTTGGTCTGGGTCCTGTATCTTTGTCCAAGTCCTGGGTCCTGAGTCCTGGGTCCTGAGTCCTGGGTCCTGAGTCCTGGGTCCTGAGTCCTGGGTCCTGAGTCCTGGGTCCTGAGTCCTGGGTCCTGAGTCCTGGGTCCTGAGTCCTGGGTCCTGAGTCCTGGGTCCTGAGTCCTGGGTCCTGAGTCCTGGGTCCTGAGTCCTGGGTCCTGAGTCCTGGGTCCTGAGTCCTGGGTCCTGAGTCCTGGGTCCTGAGTCCTGGGTCCTGAGTCCTGGGTCCTGAGTCCTGGGTCCTGAGTCCTGGGTCCTGAGTCCTGGGTCCTGAGTCCTGGGTCCTGAGTCCTGGGTCCTGAGTCCTGGGTCCTGAGTCCTGGGTCCTGAGTCCTGGGTCCTGAGTCCTGGGTCCTGAGTCCTGGGTCCTGAGTCCTGGGTCCTGAGTCCTGGGTCCTGAGTCCTGGGTCCTGGGTCCTGAGTCCTGGGTCCTGGGTCCTGAGTCCTGGGTCCTGAGTCCTGGGTCCTGAGTCCTGGGTCCTGAGTCCTGGGTCCTGAGTCCTGGGTCCTGGGTCCTGAGTCCTGGGTCCTGATCCCGGTCCTAGTCCTGGTCTTGGTCTGTTCTTGTTCACAATTGATTCTCTTAGCTGGAAAATTATTTATGAAACCGAAAGTTAAGTACCTCAGCTTTAACTGAATCCTTTGTGTGTGTGTGTGTCTGTGTGTTTTGTGTGTGTGTGTATCTGTCTGTGTGTGTGTGTGCGTGTGTGTTTTGTGTGTGTGTGTATCTGTCTGTGTGTGTGTGTGTGTTTCAGGACCAGCGGTTGAAGGAGATCGGGCCCCACTCTCCCCCCTCTGCCTCCCCCAGTGCAGTCCACGTCCACAGCCAGGACCAGGGGACCCCCAGCACCGAGCTCTTCACCGCCATCTCCCACAGGTGCCACACTAGACACACACAGATACACAACAGACACATATACACACACACACAGACGCACACACACATAATACACACATACACACACACATATACACAAACACACACAGACGCACACACGCACAGACGCACACACACACAAACACACACAGACACACATTTGTTGATGGTTTCACACTAATGATTGTTTCTGTACTGTTTTATCTTGTTTTCTTCCTGTTGTTGTCTGCTGCAAACTGTCGTTCATGTATTCCACTGGGGTTTTACTGCAAATGGAAAACCTGAATCTGAGCGTGTCAGACCTCTTCACCTGTTAACTCCTCCTCCTCTTCCTCCTCTTCCTCAGTGTTCCTGTGAACAGCGACCTGTTCGACCTGCAGCCCACCTTCATCCCTCTACACACCACCAGTGCCTGGGGAGGTATGAACACACACACACACACACACACACACACACACACACACACACACACACACACACACACACACACACACACACACATCCACACATTCTACACACACACATCCACACACATACTACACACACATACAATCAGACACACACATACTACACACAGACACACACATACACACACACATACACACACACATACACTCAGACACACGCACAGACATACACACACACTTGTGTTTTCTCTGTGTGTAGTGTGTGGAGGAGGTGCAGCTCTGACTGTCACACCTCGACCCATAAATGGATTAAGGAGATGAAAATAGAGATATTCCATTATCTGGATGTCGTGCTACTGCAGACTAAACTCAACATGGCAACCCAGGAAGTGTCCCATAGATCTCAGAGTTACAGAAAATGGCTCTTCCTCAGCTTCATGAACCTACATCATTCTGCGGTCACGGTGCGGTCACCGGTCACAGTGCGGTCACGGTGCGGTCACAGTGCGGTGCGGTCACGGTGCGGTCACGGTGCGGTCACGGTGTGGTCACGGTGTGGTCACAGTGCGGTCACGGTGCGGTGCGGTCACGGTGCGGTCACGGTGCGGTCACGGTGCGGTCACGGTGCGGTCACGGGGCGGTCACGGTGCGGTCACGATGCGGTGCGGTCACTGTGCGGTCACGATGCGGTGCGGTCACGGTGCGGTCACGGTGCGGCCACGGTGTGGTCACGGTGCGGTCACGGTGCGGTCACGGTGTGGTCACGGTGCGGTCACGGGGCGGTCACGGTGCGGTCACGATGCGGTGCGGTCACTGTGCGGTCACGATGCGGTGCGGTCACGGTGCGGTCACGGTGCGGTCACTGGTCACAGTGCGGTGCGGTCACGGTGCGGTCACGGTGCGGCCACGGTGTGGTCACGGTGCGGTCACGGGGCGGTCACGGTGCGGTCACGATGCGGTGGCGGTCACTGTGCGGTCACGATGCGGTGCGGTCACGATGCGGTGCGGTCACGGTGCGGTCACCGGTCACAGTGCGGTGCGGTCACGGTGCGGTCACGGTGCGGCCACGGTGCGGTCACGGTGCGGTCACGGTGCGGTCACGGTGCGGTCACGGTGCGGTCACGGTGTGGTCACCGTGCGGTGCGGTCACAGTGCGGTGCGGTCACGGTGCGGTCACGGTGCGGGCACCGGTCACGGTGCGGGCACCGGTCACAGTGCGGTGCGGTCACGGTGCGGTCACGGTGCGGTCACGGTGCGGTCACGGTGTGGTCACCGTGCGGTGCGGTCACAGTGCGGTGCGGTCACGGGGCGGTCACGGGGCGGTCACGGTGCGGTCACGGTGCGGTCACGGTGCGGTCACAGTGCGGTCACGGTGCGGTCACGGTGCGGTGCGTTCACGGTGCGGTCACCGGTCACAGTGCGGTGCGGTCACCGGTCACAGTGCGGTGCGGTCACGGTGCAGTCACGGTGCGGTCATGGTGCGATCACGGTGCGGTCACGGTGTGATCACGGTGCGGTCACGGTGTGATCACGGTGCGGTCACGGTGCGGTCACAGTGCGGTCACGGTGCGGTCACGGTGCGGTGCGTTCACGGTGCGGTCACCGGTCACAGTGCGGCGCGGTCACGGTGCGGTCACGGTGCGGTCATGGTGCGATCACGGTGCGGTCACGGTGTGATCACGGTGCGGTCACGGTGTGGTCACAATGCGGTGCGGTCACGGTGTGGTCACCGTGCGGTGCGGTCCACGGTGTGGTCACCGTGCGGTGCGTCACAGTGCGGTGCGGTCACGGTGCGGTCACGGTGCGGTGCGGTCACGTGCGGTGCGGTCACGGTGCGGTGCGGTCACGGTGCGGTCACCGGTCACAGTGCGGTGCGGTCACAGCGGTGCGGTCACGGTGCGGTCACGGTGCGTCACGGTGGTCACGGTGCGGTCACGGTGCGGTCACGGTGGTCACGGTGCGGTCACGTGTGCGGTCACGTGCGGTGCGGTCACGGTGCGTCGTGGGCGGTCACGGGGCGGTCACGGTGTGGTCACAGTGCGGTCACGGTGCGGTCACGTTGTGGTCACAATGCGGTGCGGTCACAGTGCGGTGCGGTCACGGTGCGGTGCGGTCACGGTGCGGTCACGGTGCGGTCACGGTGCGGTCACGGTGCGGTCACGGTGTGGTCACGGTGTGATCACGGTGCGGTCACGGTGTGGTCACAGTGCGGTCACGGTGCGGGCACGTTGTGGTCACAATGCGGTACGGTGCGGTGCGGTGCGGTGCGGTACGGTGCGGTGCGGTACGGTGCGGTCACGGTGCGGTGCGGTCACGGTGCGGTCACGGTGCGGTCACGGGGCAGTCACGGTGCGGTCACGGTGCGGTCACGGTGTGATCACGGTGCGGTCACGGTGCGGTTACGGTGCGGTCACGGTGCGATCACGGTGCGGTCACGGTGCGGTCACGGTGCGATCACGGTGCGGTCACGGTGCGGTCACAGTGATCACGGTGCTCCTGTCGCTCGATTGCCACATTTCATTCTTTCATTCTCATTCATTCATATCTCAGGCTGATTATGACATCAGTCCTTTGATGTCACCACAGCAGTGACCTCAGACAAAACTTACAAAACTGCCGATTCTCCAACAACAGATCAGAAAATCAAACAGTTCAAACACAAAGAAATGCAACGATAACAAACACATAGAGCCATTGGTCCATGTTCATTTTCATGTTTTCATCTTGTTCTGTCGTCACCCCCCTCCCCCCCTCCCCCCCTCAGGATTGGACAGCCAGCCCGTCCACTCCTCCACTGTTGACTTTGACGCTGTTTTTGGGACTAACTCCAGCGCCACGAGCAACGGCACCGCTCCGCAGACTCCAGCCGGTAATTCCGAGAACCTCTGAACTAAAATCCTGGACGTGTGGCTTTACGGTGGCTTCAAACTAACTCTAACTGACTCTAACTGACTCTAACTGACTCTAACTGACTATAACTAACTCTAACTAACTCTAACTGACTCTAACTGACTCTAACTGACTCTAACTGACTCTAACTGACTCTAACTGACTCTAACTGACTCTAACTGACGCTTCCTGACCCTAACTCTAACTTGTATGACCATATATGGGCGCTGCTCTGGCCTGTCTGCTCCAATCAAACCCTCACTCATCACATTTGTCAACCTACATTCTCAAAATCGACTCTCTCACAGACCCGCAGTTGTTTTTAGATCCATCCACGCTGACACCAGAAAAGCTCCTGTCTCAGTCCTGTGACAGTGTGATGTCATAGTATCACTGTGACATCACTATGACATCTCACTCACAGTTTTCTGACTATAAGCAAAAATATTGTCCAGTCATCACCTTCTTTTTCAGTGGAAATGTATGTATTAGTGTTTGAGCTCCCTCTGGTGGCAGCACAGGGAGTTACATACACCAAGTATTTTTCATAGTGCTGTCAAACGGTCGCATTAATGTCAAAGTCACACATTTGTTCTAAACGTCTCTGAGTTGGTTTGATGCTCTGGATGGAGCTAAAGTTTGTTAGAATGGCTCATTTACAGCGGTCCACTTTGGCCTCGGTCCTGAACCCACACTAATGCTTCTACATACTGTGTGTGTCTGTGTGTGTCTGTCTGTCTGTGTGTCTCCACGTGTGTCTGTTTGTGTGTCTGACTGTCTGTGTGTGTGTCTCCACGTGTGTCTGTGGGTGTGTCTGTGTGTGTGTGTGTGTGTGTGTGTGTGTGTGTGTGCGTGTATCTCCACATTTGTGTGTCTGTCTGTGTGTGTATGTGTGTGTCTGTGTGTGTCTCCACATGTATCTGTGTGTGTCTCTACAGTATGTATGTTTGCGTCTCTACAGTATGTATGTGTGCGTCTCTACAGTATGTATGTGTGTGTGTCTCTACAGTATGTATGTGTGCATCTCTACACACCATGTCGTTTGTCTCCATCTGTGTGTCTGATTGTGTGTGTCTCTACAGTATGTATGTGTGTGTCTCTACAGTATGTATGTGTGTGTCTCTACAGTATGTATGTGTGTGTCTCTACAGTATGTATGTGTGTGTCTCTACAGTATGTATGTGTGCGTCTCTACAGTATGTATGTGTGCGTCTCTACAGTATGTATGTGTGTGTCTCTACAGTATGTACGTGTGCGTCTCTACAGTATGTATGTGTGTGTCTCTACAGTATGTATGTGTGCGTCTCTACAGTATGTATGTGTGCGTCTCTACAGTATGTATGTGTGCGTCTCTACAGTATGTATGTGTGCGTCTCTACAGTATGTATGTGTGTGTCTCTACAGTATGTATGTGTGCGTCTCTACAGTATGTATGTGTGTGTCTCTACAGTATGTATGTGTGCGTCTCTACAGTATGTATGTGTGCGTCTCTACAGTATGTATGTGTGTGCGTCTCTACAGTATGTATGTGTGTGTCTCTACAGTATGTATGTGTGCGTCTCTACAGTATGTATGTGTGCGTCTCTACAGTATGTATGTGTGCGTCTCTACAGTATGTATGTGTGCGTCTCTACAGTATGTATGTGTGCGTCTCTACAGTATGTATGTGTGCGTCTCTACAGTA